GCAGATGACCACTTTTCGGCCATCTGTGTAAAATCTGCTTCTCCGGTATCACAAGAGCAGAAAATATGAATTTACGGTTGTCGTCAAAACGTTCAATCCACTTTCCTGCTTGTTTGACAGGTAAAAAGTAGATGGCCACTTTTCGGTCGCCATCAAAAAGAGGAAAAGTAAAACTACTTTTGTCGTAGCAGAAAAGTGGAAAAATGCATTACAATGAAATGGTCATTGCTTTTGAGGTAGTAGAAAAGTAGAAAAATCAAAACTTGCATGTTACAAAGACATGAAATCTGCTTTTCTACTATTCTGATAGCAGAAAAGCAGATGGCCACTTTTCGTCCTCCACAATGTTGCTGTACGCAACGGGCTGAAACATTACACGAAAACAATCAAGGCAGTTGACCGAGGTTGCACTATACATGTACATGTACACTATAGAATACGCGCCTACAGAAAACAGAGGCAAATCGGAAAAGAGCGCCGCCTGGCTACGCTCAGGAACCAATTTGTAAATACATGTATATTGATAGCACGACCAAAAAAATGATACACTGCCCCCAATGGCAAACTAACCAGCTAAGTGGCTGTCATTAGCCTTTGTACAAATTATTTTGCCTGCCAACTGAGGCTTTTTAGCTGGAAAGCCTGTTACGTTAGACGTCTGCCCTATGGGAGCTGTCTCACCACGCTGCCGGGGAAACATTTTGAGTTGCAATTCAGCTGGTTCCCATCCTTCAACCTGTCCGGCTTTCTTGAAACTACCAGGTAGAATATAGCCCCAGCAAGCACACCCTTTCTGGTCCTTGAAGAACTTAAGGGTCTCTACCACGGCAACACTCGCCAACTGCATAAAACAGTGAGTGAACTACAAAGTGTCTTCCTAATGCACATGCTGCAATTGTCTTTTGCGATTCCAATTTTTTTAGACAATCACTATCACAAGGTCATTTATGAAATTCTTTCCAGGTAATTTCTATAATATCACGCCAAGAATGCCGAGATAATATCCAACATTAGTGTTTCTCATAATGGAGTCAATTGTAATTCATTCTTGTAAGAATCTGAATATGATAGGGCAGCCCCATGCGACTGAGTGGGCCGCAGGAGTTTTCTAGAAGTTTGCTACATGACTTTTTTTATTCAGACTTTATTCATTCAGACAGCTAGGTTATATTGTTTGTGTGACCCTTTTAAAAAGGCCTTTTATCCTACGCCCTGGTAGGTCAAATACTGGTTATTGAAGCGTACAGTCGACATTGTGGTGGTCGTCCTTCATCACAATCATTCGAAAACACCGATCATGGGACTATTTTGCACACGTTATTTTACCATGCTTATCTGCAAAAGTACTTAGAAATTATTAAATGTTCTTCTTCAGGTTCGTAATTTCAACGGAGAACTGGTTTACAACATAATCTAAACGGAGCCGTTGTTTAATCTGTTGTACCTTGCACACCTGCTCTGTACTTTTTGATGCTATTTCTGCATCTGGTTAAAGTTTATGGGGCCTTTTTATATCTTCTTTTTACACAGTTCTTCTGCGACGACAAGATGGCCGCCGAGCACGTATTTAAAGTCCTATTCTTTATTCAGTCCGCAGCCTTCATCCTATTTATTATAAGTAAGTAAATTCTTTTTGCTAAGGACATTTAAACTGCAGCCTTCGTTAAAAACGTGATTGTGTAATTTCTTGTATTTTAAGCATTAAGAACTTGAATATTTACCCGGAACAGATATGACGAAGAACCGTAATTATCAGAATCAATTGTAACTTATGCAACGGCACTTAGTACGTGAACTTTAGCCCAATAACTTTATGAGCATCATTTACGGCACAGCTTGCCAACTGTCTACAATTGCAACTGATGAATGTTTTCATAAGAAAATAATCACAAGGTGACACTTATATGTGAACTCTGTGAAATATTACATTACTTTGCAGATAACTCTCAAAGCCCTCCTGTTATGCCTAAACCTGCCAAGAACCTAACAGTCCAGAAACCTTGTGACTGTGAAATAAGTTATACCAGGGAGGTCTTCCAAACAGCATCTGCTTTAAAAATTGATGACACTGAAGACATACGAGGAGCCCTGTCCAACTGTAGCTTAGCTGACGTCAAGAAGAGACCAGGTGTGGTTATGATGACCACTACAAATCTCGCCTACGTGGACGTTGCGCTGAACATGCTAGCGAGTGTCAAAAGGGTTGGAGTTTGCATCAACACGACAATCATCGCAGAGGATAACAAGGCTTATAGCTTGTTGAAAAACTACACTACAGGTGATCCAGCAATTCATGTCCAGATAACCAACTCTGGAGAAATGGACACCATTGAGCACAAACGTACTCACAGTAGTCAGTACTACGGCATTATGAACAAGCGACAGGCCTACTTTTTGTCTCTTCTTGAGAAAGGTTTTGAGGTTCTGTTTACCGACTCTGACACGTTTTGGTTTAGGGATCCCTTTCCCTACTTCAAAGGAGACTTCGACATGTTTCTCAGAGGCACTACTCCAACCAGAATAATAAAGAGAACTGATTTCTGCGCTGGTTTTATATACCTGAAACCAACCACAGCGACAATCCAGTTCGTGAAAACTTGGACGCAAGTTATGGATAACAACAAGAAAAAAGGTTCATATACGCCTGATCAAATAGTGATGAATAGACTACTAAAGGCTGACAGACCTGTGCATATTAATATCAAGATGCTGGAGTCAGACCTGTTTCCGTGGGGCCCTACGTTTTTTAATCCATCATGGCAAAAGGAAAACCACTCGACAGTAGTTATGCATGCCTCTAGCATACGCGGCCATCCTGCAAAACTGAAAAAGTTCAAGGAATTCGGTATGTGGCTTGTCAGTGTCACAAAATAATTTACCTGGGTTGAGGTAAAGGTAACTCCTCTGGATCAGAGATTATTAAACCGTGAAAATAAGAACACGTTGTTATATCTTTAGCTTCACACCTTTCTCGTCTTTTTAATTTTTGCGCTTTTAAATTAAAATACAACACAGAAAGTTGGAAAAACATGATTTCGTGGGTCGTAACTAGACAAGTGCTTTAATCAATGACTTATCATTATTAAGGTTTGAGTGGTTTATTTTGCAATGTTTTATTCAGGCTTTCAGATCCTCGAGTGTTCCCTTATGACTTTGATAAGTTTTAAATTCACAAGTATTTTTACTACTTGCAGAACTATAATGCATATTTGCAAAAAGGTAGATTTTATATTAAACTCTGGGTTGCGTATTTCTTGGAGTTCTTGTTGCTGTGTTACGTTCCAATGGCTTAGACTTACTGTTTTTCTTTTAAACGCAAGTAAAGGGAGTGATCCCTCGTTTGATGCTCAGTGAATGAAAGTGTTTCAATTGTTGTCTCAAATTAAACAATTTAAATGTATTACTTTTGTTCTCAGAGATATTTTCACGAGGCAAAGTAGGGTTCACAAGCTGAATAGCGCATCCCTAGAATAAACAATGCATCTCCCTGCATGTGAGACCTCATAGCTACAGTGCATTTATGTTCAGGAAGAGCGTGGAAAATGTTAAAACTTTTAAAAGGTGCAGTTTTCAGCGATATGTCAGACAAAAATGCTGCACGAAAGGTCCTTAGTAATATTTTATATTATGGACCGTATAAATGCTGGATGACGTTTAATGTGACTATAGTTATTTAGATTAGTTGGGGTTTTTGGCGACTCCGCCAAAACTTCGAATTCCCTACATTTTTGGGTTGAATATTTGCAGTCATCTTGAACTGCGTCTCTAATTATTGGAAGCTGTTTCTCAAAAAAGTATTCGACTGGGTTGATTATTTGCAGTTG